GAATAGGCTTCTCCAAGTCGTCAAGAGTCCGATTAGGTGTGGAGGCAGTAGTCGTGGTATTTTTCTTGTGAATTCGAGTTGTGGACAGTGTTTTCCGTGCCCCAGAGTCGTGGGTTCCTGGTGAACATCCTGAGGAACATTAATATATTTGGGAGGAGAAAGTGGGGCACACCTTCAGCTCGGGGTTCATCCACGGCTTTCCCAATGTCACGGTAGGCAACAATCTTTCCTGGAATAGTGTTAGCCCGAAAAATGCTCCTAGGATAGCATATATTACCGTTTTTTATGACAGGAACACAGTTTTCAAATAAATCAGTTGTATCTTGCTTTGTTCGATGGGCTTTCGGTTGATAAACCTCATCAGACTCGTCCTCGGTGAAGTACCGAAGCATGTGCCGAAGGAATCCCTTTTACATAATGCCGTCAGCAAGAACTTAGACGCCCAAGACTGCCGACAACGCCTACCAGAACCATGATACCTCTTTTCAACACAACTCTCTCAAAGACGAAGGTAAAGAATGAAGGTCGAGTCCATGAAAAATTTCTCCCCTAAAGATGTTATCATGGCCGATTGCGTGTTGCTAAACGGAACCAAATTCTAGGTTGAGCACTCCACACCGACATTTAAGTTCTGACCGCCCAAAAACATATTTTTCAACAACTCAGAAGAGGACAGTAAGAATGCGTGCAGGTGAATACAGCTTGTGTGCTCGAGAGTGCAGTTGCGTGCGTGTTGCGCGCAGCTGCGTGCGATGTGTGCGTAGTTGCGTGCAGTGCGTACGAGTTGCGTGCCTTGCGTGCCACGTGCGTGCCATCTGCGTGCATGTGCGTGCCATCTGCGTGCGCTTGCGTGCATGTGCGTGCACCTGCGTGCACTTGCGTGCATGTTGCGTGCCGAGTGGCACGCAGGTGGCTGTGCTTGCGTGCCACGAGGATCGCAAATACGGATGTAGACATTCATCACGCACACAGAGAACTAGAAATTGTTGTCCATTGTGCATCTACGGTTTAAATACGATAGTACATGTTATTTCTTAGTGTCCACGTATGTTATTTCCAGTCCACAGCCTTTCTTACCATGCACGCAGCTGCACGCAAGTGGCACGCAGATTTCCAGTTGCCCTACGCAGAGGGATGACGTGCATAAACATCTTGGACAACAGATAGTTAATTTATGCAGACAAGGGCGTAAGGGTAGAAAGGAGGTTGAGCAACGATGAAATTCACGATAAAGTGCACCGCCACCATAATACGACAACAGTTATTCTACGAAACTTGCAGGACCGTGGCCCGAGAATAGTTAATCTGGGAGCCTTGGTGGGGGATAAATTTGACGAGAGATCGAGGCTCAAGAATATTAGCATTGAGAGTGCGGTTGCTTCCAGGAACACTGACGGGAACCATGACGCGAAGCGGAACTCGAATACCACTTCGGTGTGAGGTATGCGCTTGCCTTATCCCTTTACTATTGCTAATGTGCTGCGCCCCAGATTTCAGTGATTAGTGACGACAGATTGTATCTTGGAGTCGTCGCCCCTTCAAAAATCGATGATTTTCTGAGGGAAAATACTGAAGGAAGTTGCAATGAGTGAACATTATTAATGGATCCGTCATCGCTGAAGAGAAATAGCTGGCTCTGTGTCGGAAATTTCCAAATTGCCTTACAAGGAAGACGCCTTACCGAGTGCATTCGTGAATTGGAAACTACGGCGATCACTACGGCGGCATCTTCCGGCAGTGACAGGCAAGTTCGTCCCACCTCTGTATTCTACGCCTTCCTCCATTGTATATACCCTATTCAACACGGAAACATACAAAGCAGACATCAAGATTCTCGCCTGATAAAAGTGCCATCGCGCGTTGCCGCTCAAGCCGCTCGCAAAGGCAGGCACTTGGCCCCCTATTGGATTCGCGTAGGTGTCCTGCTCGAATACACGGGGCCTTACTCGACCTACAAAATATAAACGAATGCGAAGAACTGAAAAAATAGCGCAGGATCAACAGAAAAACTCGTATAATCAAGATCAAGATCGAACACATCGACAGCGGAGGTGGGCAATGACACGCACTTTCACCGCGCCTCCTCAGTGCCCTCGACCACCAAGACACCCCTACCACACCCAGCGGCGGCGATGATGGACAAGAAGCTCACGACGAGGGCCAACACACGTTCTATTCCCGAGACGCCGGACCTAATCACACCCAACACATCGTGAGTGCCTCACCTCATCACCGACGATTAACACGAACTTACTGTGTTCTTAGGTGCTCGATAGGGCATTTCGACGACAGCGAGGCTAGCTAGAGCATCGATGGTACTGGAGGACGTTGGCCCGAGATCGCTGTGGAAGATGATGGGCCAACACGAAGATGGGCGGAGAACGTCCGTATAAAGGTGAGTTTCTCGTTGTTATGCACATTCGGGATGGTCTTACCTTGTTTCTAGGACGCGTACAATGTGTTGGACCATGAGAGCGGTGGTGTAGAGTGCATAGACGTCTGAGAGAGAAGGGAATGGCTGGGATGAGGTGAGTACATGGTCACCGAAGGCATAAACGAAATTTACCTTCTAGTGCCTGCCCACCCTCCCACCCACCCCAAACGCCTAATATTGAGTCTCCACGTACCAGGACTCGTACAATACAGCCCCGGCATGCACAGCGCGACCAGAATAGGGTCTGTCAGCGGCGTTCTCGTGTATAGGTGGAAGACTCACCTTCGGCATTAGACCTCGCCTCAGGGGTCTCCTTTCTATCTCCGCAGACAACGACGTTGTGGGCGTATGAGTAGAACAACTATATGGTCAGTTTACCTAGTGTTTCACTCAGAGGAGGGAGAACCTTACTTTTTCGTCGTAGATATGGCGCCGGGAATTATGCTGCCAAGCTGAGACAAACGGCGATGAGACGAGTGGATTTTCCGGTGCTTTGTCGGAACTATACTCTCCTCGATTGGTTGTAGCTGCAAGATGTCCTTATTATTTCTGGGGTGGTATGGGCGTCTTAGGACTGCGCTACGGGAGTCTGGCTCATCGACGTGAGCCTCCAACGGGTCACGTTACCGTTCGCCGGGAGTTGCCGCCGTAGTGATCGCCGTAGTCCGGCGCCGTAGTTTCCAATTCAGAGATTTTCTGGCCTTACCAAGGCATCACAAGAAGCCGAAATGCCGTTTCGGCACCTTACAAGGCGGTTCGAGATAGGGGTGTTCAACAAAATCTTCTATTTTTCGGCGACTGTGAGGAATATTAGAGAAAAAACAGTACCAGAGGTATATGTCAGATGTACTTCACCTATTTATACCACTTTCAGAGCGGCAGGATGGAATTTTTATTGGCCTAACTGACTCTTGTAATGCGTTGTAAGGCAAATGTCTGCCGTCGCTAATAATGCCTTGTAAGGCATTTCGGAAATTTCCGACATGGGAAGCTGAAGGGCATTAAGTCAATTCCTCTTGCGCCCAGCTGAACGAAATGGACGCCGCATACTCCCGTCGCTCGTGTTTCTCCAGGTCCAAAATCTCGAATGCGAACGTTCTGGCGTTCTTCAGGATAGTGAAACGTATTAATTATATAAACCACCAGGCTCGGCCCAGGGAAATAAACATAAACTTGCCAGAATACGTAGGCGTACCCTACACTGCAGCCGGCTGAGTCCTGAATAGAGAGGCACGAAAGAAGACACTCTGCCTATCTGTGATCAGCGCTCTAGGCAGATCGAAGAGTCGAGGACACCCACGACGCGCAGAAGCGCCAAGGCACAACCCCTGTAAGCCAGACATAATGTCAAGGTCCACGATGCGGAGCGCGAAGCGCATCCACTGCTCATTGGAGAAAGACATGGGCAAAGCGACAAGACCAGCGAGGGGAGGGGGGCCTCGTCAACCGACGAACGGGACCCATGTATGGTGCAAGGGGTCGACGCCTCCGATAGAGCAGTGGATGGGAGGACGCGGAACGGTGGCTCGGACGGGTAGGTGCTGAGCGGGCGGAGAGGGGTTAGAGGTTTAGAAGAAGAGTGCTTCTGTTAAGTCTGAAGTGGATAAAAGACCAGAGACGTCGAGGTAGAGAAGTGGGCAGCTCGGAGTGAATTCAGAGGAGGAAGAAGAGCATCGGCGAGCACGAGGGAAGGATACCGTAGAGGCGAAGGAGAAAGAGGAGAGAAAATTCAGAGTCCGTATTTCCGCGGCTCGAAAAGGTGCACAGAGCGGAGCGTCAGCGCCAACCTCAAATAACAAGGACAAGGGTAAAAGTTTGGCCTGACCTTTAACTGTGTTGTTATTTCACTCGAACGGCCATCCTAGACGTATCGGCTGCTCAGCGAACATCTGCTGTACTCGATGCCTGGAGGATCCGGAGACGCGAATTCTGCCGAATCGATCGATGGACGTACCTGCTATCGCACATTCAATATTGGGAGTCCATGGGTCCGAGGGAGCTTCTCAGACAGTGGAGGTGGGACTCCAGAAGTAAATCTTGAATGTCGAGCATGAAAAAAAGGGGATACGGAGAATATCCTTCGACAGAACCAGCGCTGGCGCAAGCAAAATTTTGAATACGAACATTTCTGGCGTTCGTTAATATAGCGGAAATGCGAGTATTCAGGACGACGACGTGCAAAGACCCTTTGGGTCCGATTCCGAGTGACCTTGACAACCCACTGCTCATCAGATTGCAGGACTGGCTCATTACACCATCCGAGGGGCGCGCCGTCAATCGACGAACGGGATTCATGTATGGTGAAGGAGCTCCACCTACAATGGAGCAGTGGGTAAGAAAATACCTGGCGCCGTAGCTCGAATAGGTTAGGCTAACGATGGGAAAGAGGAGAACGTCGTTATGATAGGCCCGAGGTGGAGGAAAGGCTAGAGACGTCGATGTAGTGGGTGGACGACTCGAAGTACAGCGTCGACAGAGCTAGGACGATGAAGACGTTGGGACTTCCTCGGTTCAAAAAGGTGCGCTGATCGAAAATTACCCAGTTCAAAAGCGCAGAAGGAGCCTGGCAGCTAGACTTCATGTCATTCACCATGAACAATAGGGATATGAGCAACGAGAGACTTCACCTCGTCGCAGCGGGATCCCTGTGACGCGAATTCCCATCCTGACCGCATCGTCCCTCTGTCGTGGCCTGTTAGGGTGGTGTAACGTCGAACAACAGGCAGAATAAATACCACGAGTGAAGAACGTGCAGAAGTGAGATTACTCACAGATAATACATCGTCGGGGTCGATGTTAATGAGTAATTTGAACAGTGGGGTTGCACGTTGAATGCTGAGCTGTTTCGAGCGAACAATTGACCAGGAGACGAAAGAAACAACGACGTCGACGATAGGCTGATAATCCACGAGGCGTTCCCTCGGAGTGCAGAGCTATAGTCACGCCACGGATGATCCAATCTCACCGTCCCAAGTTCATTCGAGTGAACAAGCGATAAGATAATCTCTGGAAGAGGGCGCCTGGTCTTCGCTCTGTGCAGTAACTCCGTCGAGTATAACTGCAGTGTCGCATAGCCAGACAAAGGGCCTATGATGAAAGCCACGAACGAAGAAAGGACGAGTTCGATCTACGTACGACCACGAAGAGCGCAGGGGAGGGAACGTTGTCGTCATCCAAGCCGATCGCCTTGCAATCGTTTATACCCAAGTAGACGAGCGATCAGATCAGGCCCAAAAACATCGATGTACCCTTCGCTCTGCGCGAGAGGGCCATACCAGGAGGATTCCCGGAATGATTCGTACGACCACAAAGAGCGCAGAGCAAGAGGCTGTTGTCGTAATCAAGCCAATCGTCTCACAATCGTCGTAGACGAGTGAGCAGATCAGGGCTGGAAAGATGCATTTTCCCTTCGCTCTGCGCGAGAGGGCCGTACGAGGAGGATGCCCGGAAGGTTGAAAGCGGGCCATACGAGGAAGTTCAACGAGGTTATCCAAATGTAGCCGCGCCCGAGAGCGTAGGCCATAGAGAACGCAGAGTTGATCCGGGCTCATCTCGGTCACTCATGAGTCATCCGGGTTGATGACTGTGACGATCAAGACTGAAGAAAGCGCATGTGATCGTTTCTCTGTGCGAGGAGACAGCAAACGTGGGCGTCGAGATGGCCGGCAAGACGAGACGAGCAGGGAAGGAACTGGAAGGATCGTACGAACTTCGAAGGCCCTACGCAGCTATCTCTGGCGAGATGTGCGGGACCACCACCCCACCTAGGCAGAAAGAACGAGACGCACACCAGCGAGGGGGGCACGTCGTCACCGGACGAGCAGAACCCGCATGCGATGGTAGGTTTCTAGAATGCGATGAAGGGGTGGATGAGAGGACGCCGAAGGGTTGCATGTATGAATGAGTGGGCGGGGAGGGAATGGGATGAGTTCTCGAGCGCAAGGGGCTTGAGGTCTCGGAGTCGCGAAGTACGAGAGGGGGCATGGAAAAGATAGCAGGGTTCCAATCAGTCCTAATAGGAACGACGCCGGCGCAGCGTACAGTAGATGGGTCGGGGTCGACACCGTTGTTATCATGGTGGTAGAAGTGAAAGAAGGATGTGTGTCCTTTTCCTCGATTGTCTTATCAGCACCATAATTATCTTATCTCATTTCTCATGCTCACGCCGAGGAGCCCGAGTCGCGTTTCCCCATATGGCTTTACTTTCAGCACGAAATCTGTGTATCTGCCACCTTTAAAATGCAACGGATAACCTACTACCACAAATCCCAAACTCGGACGTCGATTTTCGCCATCGAAAGGAGGAGGGTAGTCCAAGAACACCACGCTCAGGATACGGTATATATGAACTATAGGCTGACAATATATGTTCAAGCTTCGGCGAAAAACTTTCACGAGAGATGCAGATGAGCACAGCATAGAGGTTGGGCGTCGAGGGGATTGTCTCGGAGGTAAGAGAGCACGAATGATTATTTTCGTCAGACACAGCGGGAAAAACTGAACTTCATACTTATCAGGCTGTAATAATGGAGGATTTATGGTGGTCAAATCGGTGTATGCGGTGTGAGTGTGGGTCATTCTTGTCGACCTTATTGGAGGCCTCTCCGAAGAATAATGGGCAACATGAGCAAGCCATTCCGGGCTGAATGGTGCGACCCACATGGCTCTTTTGGATCGTCCTCGTCGCCGCCGAGAACCAGATTAACATCATCCAGGGGGGAGGGCTTTCCAAGAAGAATACGAATATTTGCATCGTTCCAAGTGAACTAGAAGTCTAGGCCGTATGCGCGTTCGCTAACCTTCCGCCCATACCACATCCGATACCATGTCATCGCGATGGGGACGCGCGAGGGATTCTTCTCTAGCCTTCGTAATTCCAACGCCCACAGACAGAGAAGGATGTAACATGGGCGGAGGATCGCTGATCCGGGCAGGAGCGAGAGCGACTTGAGGAGACGCGGACGCGGACGGTGATTGCGCCACCTTCCGTGTATAGACCAGCACATGCACATGCATCGGGGACGTGAGCTGAGGAGAACGGGAAGCGCAGGAGAGCGAAGCTCACGGATCGACACAATTGCATTAAGAGACTTGGAAGAGACTGGAGAAGAAGACGGATCGGAGCAGGGGCAGAGATTAGACGGTCGGACGGATGACATTGGGGTTGGTACGACAAGGAGGAGGATGACGGACGAGGGCCTCCGTCACGTCAACAGGCCCGCGATCCTGCACTATGCATCTGCAGATCGAAGCCCTAGCTGAAAGGGCCCACACCCGGGTAGAGACCCGCCGACGGACGAACGGGGTCCAAACCGGGTGTCGCCTTAAGCCAATGAACAGCGGACACCAGGCGCGATACCACGAGCGGGTATACGTCGACGAAGTGGGTTCTGAGTTCCAGGAGCAAGTGCGAGCTTTGATTTATGAAGAAAGGACGACCGAACGTTACTCTGCGCTGCAGCGATCCACAAGATGTTCAATGAAGGCATGGACCAAAGAGATGTGATCAGACCACCAGTGAGCGCGGCACATTCCTTTGGAAGTAGCCTCATCGAAGAGCATCGTGGAGTCGAAGTAGGCCAGGGATCGTATCGGAGGAGGATGCATCGATGATGGGCGATGTCGGAGGGGGTCATGGGTCGTCATTTCGACGGATCCATAGGTAGGGTCGGATGTCGAAGAGGAGCACAAATTGGGATATTGAAGCGACTGGTGCTGGGCGGGACGAGAGCTCGAGTTCAAGCGGATAGATGGCACTGGGAAAATAAGATGGAGGGCGGGTAGACGGGAAGCGGAGAAAGGGAGCGAACGGAGAACATACTTGCTGCCTCCACCTCCACCTCAGAGTCACTAGGCCGTTGAACCTCAACGACATCCTCCGCCCCATCCTCCGAGTCGCACTCTAATCCATTAGCCGATTCACCAGCAACTAGGCTTCAGGAGAGGAGGTCCCACTTGTCGACCTCGCCCAGATACGAGATATGCAATATTCAGCCTCATCGAGGCAGATACTTGCTCGTGAGGTTCATTCACAGAGATTGGTCGTCGTGAGTGGGGAAAGACAAGAGGAAGGAAGCCGAAATCTCCGACGCTGTGTCAGCGGCACGTTACTGGTCGGTCCGATTGTCCGAGAGGCTTCGATGTCCCACGCCGCACGCGCCCCTTTGTCTTTGACCACAACCTCTCCCCAGACCTCTTCGACGCCTAGCGATATCCCTCCTCCTCCTGCTTCTCGGATCCTCAGCCACTCTCTCGCGCACTCTCTTCGTCCTCCCACCCACTGCTCCATCAAAGCCACAAATTCCCATTCCCGGACACCCAACGCGCACCCCACCGATCCATTGTCGGTGGATTGCCCCTTGCTGGTGTTCTTTGAGCGGCGTTGGAAGCAGTGGGTGACGGAAATCGCAAGGATTGCGTCGAATCCGTACATGGAGGCCCTTCGTACGTCGTCTCTGGAGGAGAGTTTGGCTTTGTGCTAGCGTCTTGCGTACGCCAGTGCCCTTTGTTCTCCTACTCCGAGCCTCAGAGAGGAACAGAGGATTCACTCGCTCATCCAGGACCGTGGTTCTTCCCCTTCGACCACTTTCCAATCCCTCTCGCCGTTGGTCTCTTCTTGCTGCCTCAGTTCTTGCCGCACCATACCCGACAACGCACCTTCTCGCGCGGAGCAAAGACGAGACGCCTCTTTCCATGTCTAATCTACTCGCTCGTCAATCTCGATGAACGATTGCGAGACGGTGGGCCTGCATGGATGCGGGGACGATCAGTCTGTGTTCTGCGCTTTCGATCATCGTTGTGTGGACGCGACCTCCTTACCCCATGGACTGCTTTCCATATTTGCTATACACCCCACTGGTAGTGCCATCCCGCACGGAGGGGAGGCTAGATGGATGTTTCCAGTCCTATTCGTCTCACTCGTGTCCTTTGGGATTCACGATTGTGAGAGGATCGGCTTGGATTGATTTGATCAGTGAGTGTCTCCTCTGTGTGCTATGGTGGTGCCGCATGGATCCTCCTTCATCGGCCACGTCTTTTCCTTCTTTCTAGCATAGAATTACTGTGTCGGATCGGCCGGACTCGCACAAATGACGGTTCAATCCCCTGAACGCCGTCTTCACATCGCATGCGTCATCTCCACAACTTGCATTATCCTCTCTCCGGCTGCTTGTCGTCTTTTCATACATCTCCGATTCTCTCCACCAGTTCTACCCGTCCTTTTCCACGGCTCGAGATCATTGCTGATTTCACGATGCTACTCAATGAGGCTACTGCGTTTAGTAGTGATGTGGACGCGGATCGTCAATTCATCGATCCGTCGCGGATGACGCGGCGTTGGGTACATCTCTTTCTGCCCCGAGCTTGAAGACTTCGCGTTTTATCCTCGAAAGGGGGAGGAAGACACTGTTCTTCAGAAACTCGAAAATAGCTCAACTAAGCGACACTCGTCCTGCGCACCACCGCCCCTCCGGCCTTCCACGAATTCACTTCATGCCTCAAATACCAAAGTGGCGCATCAGCTCTCCCGCAAAATATTGCGGTACTGAGCACGTTCATTTGGAGCGTTGAGCCTCGAGTGATTCGTGGATGACGGAATGTGTGTGTGTGGTTCGACGTGTGTGTATCAGTGTTCGCGTTGCTCTCGCTATTGTTGTGGCGTTGGCTGGCACGCAGCTTTCTGCTTGCTGTTCGAACCTTGTACGGCGACCTATATGCGTTCTCCCTGATTACATCCAATTTCAAGTTTCTGGGCCAGAAATACTCATATTGCTGCAAGTAGGCGCGACTCGCGAGCTTTCGTGGAGCCGATTCAGGCCTCGGCGTGATCATAAGGGATGAGATAAGATAAGGTATCTGGTCACTATTACCTCTCGCTCTTCCTCCATCGATGCGCGTCCCCATTCCTACCTCCCTCTACGCGTATCCATTCCTTTCGGACTGTGCAGGACCACACTCTGGTCGCCGCCTCCGCATCTCCTAACGCTGATCCATATCTGATCCATCTCATCGATCCTAATAAGTTACTTATAACCGGCACCCTCTAATTCCATCCTACTCTATCCCCACTCCCGCTCCTCACTTGTATGCGTACGATGCCAGCACCCCATCCTCCAACCACTGCTCCACCACGGGCACACACACCTGCGAGGCCCCCTGATCGATTGTTAGTGAATCGATCGATCACCCCTCCCTGGTGTCAAAGTCAGGGAATTCGTAGTGAAGCAGTGGGTTATCGCGATCGCGCGATTCGGGTCAGAGCTGGACTTGTAGTGCATTCGAGCGTCTTCCTGGCCGTTACACCGCTTCCGAATCACGCCACTACTCTTCTCATCGCCACACCGAGCATCAAGCAACGTCGAGAGGGGGAGCTCTTCCTTCGGCCACTTCCTATTATAATCACTCATGCGGTCCTTCAGGCTCATGCCGCCTTTTACGACTTCCTGTTACGGGGCCCCCTCACAGACCTTCCGGTCTCCAGCAGCCTGCCTCCGCCTCCATCCCGCGTAGAGCGAAGTGGAGCCGCTCATTATCCGGCCCTAATCGGATCGCGTCCTCCTAGAGGAACACGTGTGATATGGTCAACTTGGATATATCCTCAGCCTCGTGGCTCTACGCTTTGGGATGCATATACTGGGTATGTCGCTGAAAAGAATAATTCAAACCCTTTCCTCCCATGGACCACTTTCAACACTCTCCTTCCCTGCTTCCTCTTATGCATACCGCCTTTTTGCGCAGAGAGATGGAGAAATGCCCGTCACAGTTTCCAGTCCTGATCTCACGCGTCCATGTGGTTAAATGATTGCGGGATGTGAGGCTGGATGTAGGTGACTTTCTCGTCGTTTCTCTGCGCGCTCTTGACGATGTCGTATGGGTCACCCCTCGCCAGTTCTTCGTCCTCCAAATTTCCCTCTTTTCCTTTAACATGATTAAGTTACCGTTCGCGCTCGTATCCCTTGGTCGAACGAACGGCAAATATGAGTTCACGCTTCTTGTTGCACGAAGCACGCGATACCCGGTATACTATTGAAAAAAGTTGTGTGATCTTACCATGCGATCTCTGGTTAATGCCCCTTGTCAGCTGGAGATCCGCAGCTTGGGTATGTCGTTGCTTTGTCTCCTCTTCGCTCCGCAATCTTAGGCACCGGTCTGTGTATTTTCCTTCTTCATCGTGCTATGCTTGCTCACGCCGAGGAGACCTGGTCGCCTCACCCAAACTGTTCTTAAGACTTGTACCCTGCCTCCCCTCGAGATCCACATCGCCCAAGGAAGTAGCTGTCCTACCGCCGCAGATTCTCAGCGCCTCCGGCGATTTCTATTCATCAATATCTGTAGATACGTTGGATCGAAACGTCCATTTGTATTTAATTTCACTGCTCATCGAGATTCGGCGGGTTCCACCTGCCGCTTCCACCCGCTCTCGTGAGCCTAAGGACATCCTTGAGAGCAGATTTTGCTACGACAAGTGATACAAAATGGGGCGTGCGCTGTGTCAAATTACCCCCTTGGTGGCGACTGCTGAGTATTCACCCGCAGCTGAATCTCACCCTCGTTGACTCTCTATATCGTCATTCTTGCTCAGCCAGCTTTTGCGTAGGGTATTCGGGATAGTAATGACCACTGATCGGAGAAACGTTGAAGCCTGATGTAAATCAGACCTATTATTCTCGTATTCAAAGTCGAGCTATAGCATGGCCGCGCACGACCAAAAGAATTCGGCGTTTCGTCTTCTGTGTCTACAGGGAAGGGGGAATAGTAAATTGGGTCAAAATCAATAAGGTAGTTATACAGTGCACAAGGTCCGTAATCTGACGATAACGCGCACAGTTGCGCTGTCTGAGGGCCTGTCAACATTCGAAGAGCGAGGACGACGATGACGTCACACGGAAGTTCGGCCCGATGCTTGCTATCGCATGACCCGACTCGGACACTTCGGCGTTCGTTGCTTTCACACTGACCACGACCAGCCTCCGCAGCTGAAGCTCCTCTTCTCTCTCCCAGCCTCTCACTCATCGATACATGGACCATCTTACTCGCCCTCTACGACGCTCGAGCCAAGGACCCCCCAATTGCTAGGGATCGAACGGCGGGATGGTAGATACGACCTGGGCGCCGGGGAGTGAGGATGGCCCGAAGGATATCGACTCGACGGAACTGCAGGTACGTCTCTTTCCCACTTCAACCTCCCGTCTTTTCGTTCGATCTTGAGCGCTTGAGCTCTACTTTTGCCGACACCCTTTCCCTCCTCGGACTTCGAGCAGCTCCTCGACAGCATCTCCTTGATCTCCTTATCTGTTCCATCAACAACTAGCAGCACTCTCACTGCCCCTACATTCCAGCAATTCCGCCGCGTCCTTCCACCCATTGCTCACCGATGGCCGTATACACCTGTGTGGCCCCGTTGATCGATTGCTTGTGGAATTAATCGATCGCCCCTCGTTGGTGTCGTAGACAGCGAATCGCAGGTGGGAGCAGTGGGTGATCGGTGTCGCGGGATTGGCATTAGAGCTGGACTTGGTTTCATATGTCTTCCCTGCCATGACCCCTCGAGCTATTGGTTTTGAGGGAAGTGTGCACCTCTAACCCCTCGCACTATTACCCGGGTTTACACATCTGCCGACCTCTTCCTTCCGTAGAACGACCCTCCGAAATTCGAGTCTTCGCCAGCCTAATTTCACCACCACGCTGCACAGAGCGAGTGCAAGACTTTCGCTTCCCGTACTGATCTGCTCGGTCGTCGATACGGATGAACGGTCACGGGACGGTCAAATTGGATTCGCGCGGGCTATACTGTTCGTTTTCTGTGCTTGTGGCCCGAGATACGCGGGCATGCCGCCGTTTGCTCGTGTTGGCCGCTTTCCGTGTGCTTCTTGCACCCATCCTACGCATACCGCCTTCGCGCAGAGAGAAAGCCAGACACTTTTCCAATCTTGATCATCTCACGCGTCCATTTGGTTAAACGATCGTGAGACGATAAGGTTGGATATAGGTTGGCTTCTCTTCTCTGCGCTCTTTGGCGATGCCGCACGGGTCAGACCTCGCTATTTCGTCACCTTCCAAATTTCTCTCTTCCTTCTCGGTACGGTGTAATCTCATCATCGTTCCTCCGGCATCTCGGATCGCACGAATGGTAAGATTTGAGTATTTCTTGTTCTGCGATGTATCCAGTGCAAGATTTCAACCAAATTTCTCTGATCCTACAGAGTACGACTGATACCAACGCCCACCTCGAGATCCCAGCTTGGTTGTGTCGTTGCTCTTTCCTCTCTCTGCGCTCTCACATAGGTACCGGTATGTGCACATTCTAATTTAATTTAATCGGCTTTGCATTTGGTATTTGGGATTGTAGCAACACGCGCACAACTGAGGGAGTTTCGCAGAGGGAGGATGAGGACGAAGCCGATTCTGAGTGTCAGCCGAAAATTTCCTCACCGCGCCGATTCTCGGCAAGGATAATAGAGGACGGCCGTTATTTCAACTTGAGATGTGGATAGGGTATACGAATAAAGGGGAAACGAGCAGACACATGACACAAATGGAAGGAAGAGAATGGACGGAGGAGGCGGGTGAATACAGGAAACCGAACATTTCTTAGGGTAAATATCCCTCCCGAGAGCCTCCTCAAGCCACAGTCCATGGGATAGGCACAAATGTGAGCGTCTGCGAGCGTATCAACACCGTCTTCAGTCCTCAGTAATCATAGCCAGAGAAAGAAGAAAGAATACTCACGCATTCGATGAAATCAACACCATACTTCGCGGCGTAGGCGTCTGGATCGCCGGTGAAGAAGAAGCCAGCTATCCACGGGGAGTGGGGGTAGGCGTCAGCAGCATCTAGGGAGGAGGGGGAGAAGAACTTACGTTCGCGAGCGTCATAGTGGATAGTGACATTCAGAGCTGTACCGTCCGGGTTGATCCAGACAGGTTTGACAGTCTGCGTAGCGCGGTCATAGTTCCACTGATTTCGGGTTAGTGAGAGCCCAGGCGGGTACGAAGGCTCAGAAAGACTGACGATAGCGCTTTGTCTGACACCCTCCGCGTACTGCGGGATCGTGTACCCAGCGGCGGTAGGCCCGTTTGCGGGGCCTGCGCCGACGGGGGTTACGTCTGTGAAGGTGAAGACTCCGAAGCTGAGTATCAAATAAGAGGCATTATCAGAGAATAAAATGTCAGCCTTGGTGCTTATGGACGAACGTAAGGTACTGACTTGGGCGAGCCAGGACCCATCTGCGCCTGCTCGGGTGAAAGTGCCATGGCGCCGAGCCACGGGAGCGCGCTGCTCCAGTAACCCGCCTAGATGAAAACATTCAGTGGATTGAAAGTAGCCATCGTGGGCGGTGAGGTAAACGAACGAAGGACCACGCCTCTAGGGGGTACATCTCCTCCAGCTCAATAATGAGCGGATACGTGTAGTAGTCGCCCTGCACCTCTGCCCCCGAGGCGCGTACCTGACCCCAGAGGTTGGGCCACCTCCCGAAGATGTGTCGCTGTCCTGTAGAGGCTTCGACACAGTGAATGTTGCCCCAGCTATGCGAATACGAGAATATGGTTTTTGAGTAAAAGTGATAATTAAGCGGAGGAGAACGGGAAGATGCTTACTTGGGAGGGGCAGCATTCGCATTCGTGGTGGTTCTTTGGGCTGCAGCTGGGTAATTGCAAAGAAAAGGTAATCGAATGGGAAATGTGAGAATAAGAGACGACGTACAGCGGCTGTTTGGAAGAGCGACATTCTTACTGGCGCCTGGGTTCTGGGCTTGGACGCTTACAGCAGCGAGAGCGAGCGCTGTGAAAATGCTGATCTTCATAATGGGACTCGAATTTTTTTAATCGGGCAGGAGAACGGCGTGTAGGTCTGCGTGAAAGAGAGGGAAAATAAGAGTACTGAGGAGACGTCCAGGCGAATCCTTCCCCCTTTTTGTACTCACAAGTGACATTCCATCAACCCTTCAAGCCGTCTTTGCATGAAACGAAATCGGCGCTCGATCCCCGTAGTGCAGCAGGTCAGAGCCTTTTCCTCCGGCCCAAGCTCTCCGTAAGTCTTGACTGGGGAATTGACACTTGCTTATTTCCTTTTCAGTCGGCGACGCGAGACCCGAGCTGTGACAAAACGCGTGGAGGCATTACTTACAGACCGTGTTACTGCCGAGAACGTCGGCGTCCACCTCTGGTGCGGTTGCACCTTTCAACACTAATACAGACTTGAGAAGGGCAAGGGAAGGACGAAGGGCTTGGAGGAAATGAACCCACTTTGCATCTTAGCGTTCCTCATCATTTCGACGCCGAGAGCCCAAGATAAAATCGTCAAGTCGAAATGGCATTAGCAGGGCCTGAGGTTAGATAGAGGAAGGAGCTCCATCCACGATACATGTAGAGAACGCCCTCTCAGTGCAGTTCCAGACGACCGTACTTACTAGGGGCTCGGTGGTGGTTACGCGTCTCCGTCTCACGGCGGAGAACCCATGCTGGACCTGCGCTGCACCAAACACATCGGTTCGGACTCCGAAGCGTGCTGAAATTCGAGGAATGTAGGGAAACTTGAGGTGGGGGTAGAACAGGAGGGACGAAACAAGGGCTCAGCAATCGAGGAGCTCGAACTGATCGACGGCAGGAGGTCAAGGGAGAGGTCGAATACAACGCACGGAAACACCGATCGTGGGTCTGGTGGTTCGTTGGTGGAGATCACATGAGCAGGGAGGATTCGTATCATTGAGGGCGTGCACTTGATGGCGACGAGAATGCGTTGAGCAGATGGGGATGTGAACAATGGTTCAAGGAGGAGAAAGTTTAATTACCGTGCTGTATACGCGACGAGGAAAGTTGGTGCTTTTGACGCACTAGAGGACGATGGATGGGGCTGAAACACGTCGAAGGGGGGCCAGATGGATGCGATGGGTGAGTGAGAGCGATACGTGTGCTTGAGCGTGAGATGGACCGAGAAGGAAGAGTATCGCCGAAGAGTAGCCAGAAGACAGAGAGAAAAAGACGTGTACGGAATGTACATCTCTGAGTCGGACCGGCTGAAGTAGAAAGGACAGAGGGAAGAAGTACGAGGAGGCTGAGGCACGAGCCGGAGGACACACCTTTGAGTACTTGTAAGGATTCAGCGCTATTCAGCTCTCTTGATATATCTGCAAACTCCCTTCTATAGAATAGATTCCCTCGCGCACACACGTCCTCGAAGTCTCGTCATCTCTCCCTCCACTCGATCCACCAGTAATCAATATCGATAGTTGGCAGCCTGAGCAATCTGCAGCACGGTGGTGCGCGGGCGAAATTCGATGAATGCCGGAGTAGACGTTAGGTACATGAAGCAAATCAAGCATGCGCGAAAGATTCGTGCATAGGCTGGTTGTCGTCAGTGGTAACTTGTAAGGGAGGGGAAGAGCGAACGATGCCAAGCACGCCTCGGAATCATCCGACATTTATTTTTAGCACACCGGCGGCGGGCCGAATGTCCGTCCGCCTTCGATTATCCCACGCACTCTTTTCACCACAACCACGACGGGCGCTGCCCTTCCTCTCATCTTGCTCTCATCCTAGGAATATATAAACACCTGGAGCCGACCGTTTTTCTTCGGCATATCTGAACAACTCTCTCTTCTCCATCGATCCCCCATCGCCGTCCCACCCTGACGCGTGCTCCGCCCACCGCTGCTCACCCATCGAGCGATTCCACTCACCGATCAGAGGCCTGCGCATGGGCTGTCCATCGCCCGCTCCTTGTTGGTGTAAAGAGGAGATACTTCTTGATGGATAGTACTGGATGATTGAGATCGTGAAGATCGCGTCAGTTGGGTCGGGACGCTGGGGATTCTGGTACGTCCTGTTCGACATGGGTTCTTGCGGCCTTGTTTCATGACTGAAGGGACGTGGCGAATAGTCACTTACTGTTCTCGCACCTTCCAGAATCAAGGAACGTGGAGAAGAGCTCCTCACCTCCTCCGCGCTATATTCTTTAAGTTTCTCTTCCCACCTCCCCGACCTTCGCACACCAGCTCTCGTCGCCCGTCACTCGTCACTCTAGCCCTCCTGCCATGGACCGGACCTCACATTTTACCCGAACCCCATCGTCGCTATCTCGCGGCGCGAGGGCCATACGCAAAATTTCTAATCTTGGTGGTCTCGTTGGTTCATATCAACGATTATGAGACCACGAATTTGGTTGTCTTTTTGTTAGCTCAGCGACATCGAGCAGCGGTGCATGATTGCGAGGCCTCTTCCTTTTTTCCTGTCTCGGCGAAGGCCTATCATGACACGGATTCAACTGAATTCCTCTTTAGAGGTGAGGTTTCTCGTGTGGAACCGTGCGCCGAAGTCGTTCACAAGGCCTCAATAGAGTTAATCATCGGTTCCATGTGGGGAATCTCCTAGATACGAGAAGAACGGCACACGAAAGCGCTTGACGATGTGAAGGAGAAGATTGTGCCCGATCCGTTATCGAACTTTGAACATACGACGGCGTAGCTCCTCCAGCGGCCTATCGCAATCACACCCTATAGACTGTCACCATCACGACCCTAGCCCATTGGCTAATCCACCTTGCGTCCTCCTACATCGCAGCCGTAGAAACCAGGACGACGCGGGCTTCTCTGAATTGTCTGTTTGATGCAGATGCCTGCCGGACTTCCCTCGCTGATGTGGCAACAGTGGATGTTGAGCAATGTAAAGATGTGGGCATCGCGCCGGAGGCTGCGGATAGAAGTGCCAGGTATTCGTACGTCTTTCCCTGGTGTGTTTTTTTGGGCTGTGGTTTTTTTCCGGCTGGGAAATGGCGGATGGCCGCCGTTCAGGGTATGGCGTTAACGGTCGTCCATTTTTGAGCTCGTCCTGCCCTTCTTGTCCCAAGTCCTAGCCCGAAGGAAACAACGGACTCCGTTCCCAGTTGCCCGCTCTCTCCTTCCACCCTTCACGATCCCTTGCACCGCGTCGAGATCCCCCCTTCTCGCCTCTCTCACAGAGCGAAGACCAGACGCCTGTTTTCCATTTCTGATTACCTCGGTCGTCGATCCGTACGAACGAGTACCAGAGGATCAACTTGGATCAACGCAAGTGCCCTGTCTGTTTTTGCTCTATGCTTTCGAGTGAGCATGTCGAAGCTGGGTTGAAGCCTTTCGTCCTATGGCCTGATTTATATGCGTTCTCGGTATTAAACCCGCGTTGCCTTCTAGCTCGTCCGCCTAGAGAATTATGGGGGTGAGACTGTGAGGGCGAACATAGCTGTCTCGTTCATTCTCTGTGGTCTGAGATAAATCTTCTGTAGTTGTCCTATCTATTTATACAAGATATTTGCCTCGCTTCGCTTCGGCCATAAACAAAATCCGCCACTGAGCAGAATCTCAGAAGAATAATTTCGGATGAAACTCGAATTCCTGTAGGACCACGGCGCAAAAATGAACGAAACTCAAGGACTTGACTTGGAGACTGGCGGCTTGAGAATATGCGGAACCTAGCCCTGTGTCATACGATCAAAAGTTGACGTTTTGGAAGGGGTGGAATCTCAAGAGACTAAAGTCTGGGGCTAATGGAACTCGGAAAGGCAAGCCTGTGGCTCATGTGAAAGAGCAGAGTTGACACGATAGACACGCACTTATGAGCGCTTATGTGAAAGGAGAAAAAAACAGGGAATGAGAGATGAAGATGAACGCATGTGGAGGGAGAGAAAGGGAATAGAGGAGCAGGGAAGTAGAGGATCAAAAGTTACAACGGTGTGTAGGGTACAGTATGATGTAATTGTCCGTCATGCAATACTCTAGAAAATAAGGACACATAGACTAACGGAATAGGACGGGAAGAGAAAAAATTAAGAAGCATTGAGGGGAATCGAGGATAGGACATTGCCTGATGACCCAGGGGTAGAACAATAAAGTGTCTGAGGGAGGAGAGACGAAACGGGAAAACGGGCACGAGCAGACGTACAAACAGACGTACACGAAGTCGAGGGATCTGCTTCATATAGAGGTATCGTCCTCCTTCGAATTCTCGCTCCTTTGATTAACGGATTACAAATTTCCTGTTTGAAGACGTCAAGTTTACCTCTCTCTTAATATATTTAATACCTATAATCCTGCTATCCTATCGCAACGTAACGTCCTCAGCCCCCTTGACCGCGTGTGGAGCGTTGAGTCACAGAAAGAGGGAGACCATAAATTCTCAGACTCGGAGAGGGGAGTACAAGCGGTCTAAATCAATCTACATTCAATCAAGCTCGTCCAACTCCGTGGTAACCGGTGCCTTCTTCTTCAAGGCGCGTTGGGCGCTTTCCCCGAAATCTACGCCTGGCGCGAATGACGGCGCAAACACCGAGAAACGCGGGGCAATCATTTGCAGAATAGGACTTTACACGGAAACTGACAACAGTGTCTCCGAACCTATAAAAACACCTGTACCACGCCATGTCTGACTCCGTGACTTGTCCTACTATGAACACTCTCAACAGCCATTCTTTGCCACAAGCCTCCCTCCCAACTGTCGCAGCAACCGCCGCTGTCACCCTTTACAAGAACGCGGACACGTACAGGTTCAGCGGAGGGAGCCTGGATGTCAATATTCTTGATAAGAGTCAGTACCATACTGATTCTTTCCTCTATCGAGTCACATAACACTATGGCAGATGGCGGTTCATTCAGCCTCGGTGAATGTTCCAGGGATGGAGAGATAGAAAATACCCACATCAGCATCACTATCGGCTTTGCTCAGGCGCTCGCTGTGCCTCATTCCCCCAACAAGGCTCAAAGTGAGTGTTTGCGACTATATTTCTTTTCTTTGGCTGACAAGATTCGCGCCAGGCGTAGATTTCGGGGAAAGCGCCCAACGCGCCTTGAAGAAGAAGGCACCGGTTACCACGGAGTTGGACGAGCTTGATTGAATGTAGATTGATTTAGACCGCTTGTACTCCCCTCTCCGAGTCTGAGTCTATTATCTCTCTGTAATTCTGTACTTCACGAGGCACTTAGGAAGCCGAGCATTCCGAGCATTTAATTTGCACACCAAAAGCTGGGCCGAGTATCCGTCTGACAGCTGGCCATCTCCCACACACCTCTTTCAACAACCACGACCGACCACGATCACTCCAGCGGGCTTATCAAGTGCATGCTATATATCGCCTCCCTCAATCTCTTTTATCCCTTATCCAAGCTTCCTTCTCGGAACCACTTCCCCCTCATCGTTTGCTCCCCCATCGCCATCTCTACACATCGCCACCTAGTCGTCGCCCCCACTCTCCGTTCTCCCAGCCCCCGTTCCATTGCTGTCGTGATACCAGACTATCACCGCGCGCGGGTCCTGCTCGTTGGTTCCCAGCCCCTCGTTGGTGATATTGTGGTATTCCAAAACAGTCAACAGAGCGGTGGACGAAACTGCTCTCGCTGAGAGTGTAGACGGTCTTCGTACTCTTATGTCGCCATCGGAAGTGGGTATACTTGACCTTGCGCCGCCGTCACTCTGTATGGAGCTCGCTCTTCAATCGCAGCGTTCGTGGATCGCCCCTGAGTTGATGTTAGTAGGGGCAGTGGGCGATCAAGATGGTGTAATAATCGTTGAGAGTGGTGGTGTGGCACTTTCGTACGTCTTCCTCGCTGTGTTCTCTCGAGCTATTCTTACTTAATTGCGAGGGAACGGCGAATGTACGGTCTAACCATTTCTCCTCTCGACAGGGCCATCGTCGCGAACAACATCGAGAAAGGCCCCTTAAGAACGACCCCGCAGATCCCATGTCTCCAGCAGCCAGCGTCCGCCATCGTACCACGCAGAGTGACGACCAGACGTCTTCCACCCCGATCTACTCGTACGTCAACCATCATAAACGATAGCGAGACGATTGGCTTGGATGAACAACTTTCGTACGTGTCTTCCCTGTTGTGTTATCCTCGACTACTACCTCTTGATCGTTAGAAAATGGCATATCCGACCTCTCCTCTCGCCCACCTCTACCCCCACTCTGAAGGAAGAGTTCGTACGTCTTCCCCGCTGTATTCTTTTGAGCCATTCTCACTTAATTGTGAGGGAACAGCAAATGGACGGTCTATCCCCTGCTCCTTTCGACATGGCCCTCGTCGGAATGACCCCTCAGATCGCATGTCTGCGGCAGTCCACGTCCGCCATTGTACCACACAGAGTAAGCACCAGATGTCTTCCACCCCGATCTACTCGCACGTCAACTATCATACAAGACGGCGAGGTGATTGGCTGGGATATTCTTTGCCTGTTTTCGGCCCTTTCTACGTTCGCAGGCGGCAATACATGTCCATTTGTTCACCGGCTCTAATATTTTCTTACAATCCCCCGTGCATCTACCGCTCTCGCGCAGAGTAATGACGGGCTATAACTCTCCGCACCCGATCTGCTCGTTAATCTACTCGTGTGAGAACAATGTCGAGACTATCGGTTTGGATGGCTTATTTTTTGTCGTCGTTCTGCGCTCTTTGGTGGTGCCGTGGCGGTGTACTTCTGTCGAGGTTGTGCAATGAGCTCTTTTCGACGTACCGATCTCGGTGAGAGTGGCCTTTAGAGTACAGCTTGGATAAAATTTTGCGCGGACAGATGTCGGTATACTGGATCTACTTCTTACGGGGTCCTGCTCACCGCCAGTTAGGGGGGCCTCACGCGTTTATTGTGTATATGCTACTTGCATTGCAGCGGTGGGTTCTCGAGATCGGATGGTGAATTTCTGTATAAGTCATCCTAGGCACTAAATGAAGCGTTCTTAGGCTGATGCTCCGGCACACTGAAATTCTCCCAAAGTCTTCAAGGCATCAGAAATATTTATTTATTCCTTTATTCCTGTCTGGTCTTTCTGGTCTCTGCTCGTTGCCCGGCCCTCTCCCAGCTGGAGTTTAAGGCAAGAATTCATCCTAGAAGGCTTGTATTTATTTCTCTGAATCAAATCTTATGGCTTACCTATGTGTTTTTGTTATCATAGGCATCTCCAGAACGGACTGTTCGACATTTCCGACCTTGGGATCGATATTCTGTGCTCAAAGTTCGTCTCAAGAGTCTCATGTCTCTATTATCACCAGGGCATGTGTGAAAGACACTACATGGCGTCCGATAGCCTTACTTAGAAGAGAGAGGGGTCTCTTCCTTTTCTGCCTTCATCCTTGCACGATGCAAGGGGCCAAGGGCTTCGTAAGGGTGTGGTCAGCAGAGGAGTGAAAAAGACGAGAAAAGGCCACCGTCTCCGAGTCCGACATCTAATTTTAGCACGTCAAGTCTGGGCCGAACGTCTGCCTGGCTTCGATTTCTCCCACACGTCTCTCTGTCAACAACCATGACCACTCTCCGCTAAACCCCCGGCTCTCTCATCCTACTAATCCGTCAACGCTTCTATCGTGTCTATGCACCCTTCTTAGTCGATCTCTATCGTCTACCCCGTATTGTCCGCCTGGTTCGGCCCGCATCAACCGACTACGCTGCGTCTGCTGTCAACCTGCTGCAAGTGCCTACACTCGAAAACTCAGCGTACACGTTGACGAATGCTGGTTGTATCCCACTACTCCTCTTCGCTGGCATTCCCCAGGAGCCGGGGGACGTTAGACAGCAGTGGGTGAAACATGGGGATCTGGACGTTTTCGGCTTTCGTGCGTCCTTCCTGTTCGTGTCATCCTCGACTACTACCCTTTTTCATTAGGAAATACGAATATCCAACCTCTTCTCTCGAAAATCACGACTTCCACTCTGAAAGAAGAGACGATGAGCCTCCGATCCCTGTTTACTCCTCCCCATCGCCATTCCATCTCTTCTCAAGATCTCATCGATGCATCCCTCATTCCTCCCTCCTTCTCTCCGCCAACCCAATATGTCACGTTGCATCCATCCATCCATGGCTACGTCGCCATCGGGATAGCCACAAGTGCATGCAGGCTCATCCGTCGCCAGCGCGCCGTCCGTTGGCGGTATCGGGAGTTCATTGCTATCAATGGGTGGTGGATCAGATGGACCCTGCGGTTCTATTTATTCGTCGCGCCTTTCTGCGCAGGGCGAACACCAGCCGCCCGTTTCCCGTAAGTTTTCCACACATTGATGTGGATGAATGACTGCTACACAATGGGCTTGGTTGCTTTGCTATTCTGGCTTCTCTGTGTTCACGGAGTTATGTCATTCGATGGGCCCCTGGCCCGTTCTCTCTCTGTCCCTTCCCATGCATGCCTCCGTCTCGCGCAGAGCAGGGACCAGACGCGCTTTCCCAGCCTTTATCTTCTCCGTCGTCGATGAGAGTAGTAACGATGGCGAGACGATGAGCTTGGATCATCATCGGATGAGATTTCGGTTACCTGCTCTCGCCTTTCGGCGGTGCCATGAATCCTCCTTCTCCGCAAACCCAAGGTCGCTGTTTGGCTGCATTCCCATAATGCATGTCGGAGGATTCCTCAGAGGAAGAGCCCGATGACTCGGTTGCTCTTTGTTGATCTGCCCAACTCTGAAAGGTGGCGATTCAACTTGAGTGTCCGCGACGGCTGCGATAGATGAGTAATTTTACTTCAGGATTCACCCCGTTCTCAAGTTTTGAAATTTTTTGATAGGCTATCTTTTCAATGTTTTACCACCTCTTGGTCCCCTCTCGGCGTGCCTTTCCTCCCAAGAACATGTCCATACCCCTTTCCTCTTTCCCTTGGACATGCTCATCTCATCCATCCGTCTGTTAATTTACTCTCCATCCCACTCTCCCTCTCGTGGCACACTTGTTCAGAGCACAGACCAACCGCTCGTCTCCGAAGATCCAGTCCTGATCTCTCGCGTCTACCCCGATTTCTGACAGTGAGACGATGGGCTTGAATGGGCGGGCTACGACGGGGATCTGCGCTCTTGGGCAGAGTTCGCCGCTTTTGAGCCCTCCACGTTTACTTTGTTATGCATCGCAGCCATTACGTGATGCCTTCCAACACAGGGAAAGTGAATTCTGCCGTCTTCACCCACAGAATCAGCTTCATGTATCAAACCAAGTTCTTCTACCCGCTGCTTCATCATTGGCAGGATAGTTTGCGTACCACCAGGCGTGGGTCCCCCTCGTCAGTTGACGGCGCTCCCCCGCTGGTGTTATGGATTCTTTTCCACTGCTTGATGAACAGCGGGGAGACCGTTTGGACTGAGCTGAGCTGGGCGCAGGGGGCCTTCGTATATCGTCCTGGGCACTGGGCTAGGTGTATATTTGGGGTAGACAGATGGGGAGGGCGCTGGCACTTCAACACTTGGGAACTCTCCCTGTCTCTCCAATCACACTGGGATGCCGATCCTCGAGGAGTTTCTCTTTCTTGTTCTATTACTCGTGATTCGGCCGGCTGGGGCCATCGTATCCAGGTGAGATGTTTCCTACTCGCCCGGACCGAGTCTTGCGGTTTGCACCATCGACGTACCTTGAGAAATTTTTCAAAACGACTCGCATTCAAAACACGAGATTTGTGTGAGTGCTAGTCCATGGCCAAAACTCTACGCTTACAGTTCCTTTCTGCAGTCTAATTTCTCGAATTTGAAGGCTACTCACCATCGTTCACATACTACACGGGGAGCGACGTCGGAATCCGCCCGGAATCGTAGGCTTATCTTCATGATTCGTCGAGATGTTCATCCACCTGGAGTATAACTCGAATATCCCATTTCCTTCTTATACGCTATGAACTATTGACTGCGTCATTTTACATTCAGACGTCCTTCGACAAGAGTTGTGAACATGAGCCTTCCATTTGAGCTGGTCTTTTCACAGCCTTTCAATGGATAATTGCATTACCTCAACTATTCTGAATTTACCGAAAACATAGAGGGGAAGGGGCGTGCTGGTCGGGGAAGAGTTACAGATACTCGTCGGTCTGGGTGTGGAGGTGTGTATAGTATACTCTAATTCGTCGAGAGCGTAGATGCTGTACCTTGAGCCCAAGCGGGAAGGAAACAGATGCACCAACGCGCACGAAAGTACGAACCTGTCAATTGAAAAAGGAGAGAAGAGAGTGTAAGAGGAAGATAGGGAGGCCAGCCAAGGAGACGAACCATTTTATAATTACTTCATGGATGGGTCTCCCATCGTTCTGTTGGAGGTCGGAGGATGTTCACAACGCAAGGTCAAAACGAGGTCGGACGCGGAGTAGTAGAGTGGGGAGAGTAGGCCTTGAGTTCGGGGTCTATTGTGGTGTACAACGTGAGACAGGACTGGCGTTGTGTGGGACCCTCAACTGGTCAGTGAGCGAGTCGGGCGACGAGGATGCGCTCAGATCGTAGATAGGTGCTAATAGTGGCCTGAGGTGGAAGAAATGCATCGTGCATCACGGTAGATGCAAGACGAGTTCTGTGGGCTTTCGGAGGCATAAGAATGTTGATTTCGACGGAATAAGGGCGGCGGAAGGGGGGAAACACGACAAAGGGGTGAGATGGAGGGATTGAGAGAGCGGGTGAAGGTGGGCTGAGGATTCGGAAGAGGATGGTGTCGTAGAGTGACCATAAGAGCGAGATGTCGAAACGGAATGGAAGGCGCACCTTTGGCTACTAGACGTCGGGCTGTGGTCCGACATCTTAACCCCCCCCTCTTCGATGAATACCCACTAGCGAATAACACCCATATCTACGTCCCATCCAATTCTTCATTTACGCAGGTCGCATCTCATGTCTCCATCCCGTCGATCCACTAGTATTCAGTTGACACGCGAGAGGGAGTTGCAGTACAGCGAATTCGCGATTGAAATATTGACCTTCGATGAGTACCGGATTGCAGCGCCGAGAGAAAGGAAGACGAGCCCATGATGAATTTGCTCGTTCAGAATTAGGATGGGGGGGCCGGGAGAGCTTCGCCCGCAGAGGCTGGTAGTCGTCAGTGCAGTGCAGGAGGGAAGAGGAACGGGCTGCGGAGAAGACCAAAGAGTCTCGGCCGGCTCGTCCGACATTTACTTTGAGCACGGTGTCAGCCGGGCCAAATGTCGATCTCTCCCACACGTCCCTCTCTCAACAACCACGACCACTGTCGCCAGACCTCCCACCAATGCTATGAAGGCCGGATTGGGGAAAAATTGCCCCTCAATTTTACACACCCATTGCAAGATTTAAGACACTCACGAGTTGGGTTCACACACACAGACCGCACAGCTAACACACACATGAGCCAATTCAACACACACACAAGCCAATTCAACACACACACAAGCCAATTCAACACACAGATGAACCAATTTAGCACACACACAAGAAGATTTAAAACACATGTTTCTCAGATTAACACACACAGGCGCTAATCCATTGTCCCATAACACAAACAGACAAGATTTTGCTGAATACACACGGCTACCGGCATTTTCGGCTTGTGACGGAGTTTTACCTACTCGGCACCTTCGGCATCGTCCTTGGGGGCCAAGGTGGCCAGTCACTGAATCGCTCTGAAATCGCAGCGTGGGTCACAGTCACGTCAAAAAATTTCAAGAGCAGAACCGCCACCACCAGGCATACGCCCGCCAGCGACCGAGGAGTATTGCGACACTCTCCTTCACCATCCTCCCTCCCATGCTGCAAGCCTGCCTCCTTGGAGACTCGGAGCCCTGGGACTTCTCAGGGGGCAGCCTTGGCAACTCCATTTAGTTGAAGGCCCCTGTCCCTGCTCACCACCTAAAGATTAGCTGGCAGTCGGGGAGTGCGAGTATGTCTCCCGGAAAGGTGAGCCCATAGCTCTGCAAAAGAACCCCTCCCACTGCCCATGTCGGTGTTCTGAGACTTGGAGCCCTGGGACTTGGAACACTGGCGTGGCGTGGCTGCCCCCTCGCTGCCCTCCTTCACGTGTCCTGATCCCTTTACACCGCCAGGGATGGAAGAAGCCTGTGCCAGGGCGATTGTGCCACACTTCACCTATGATTTCGCAGATGCCCTTAAGCGAAGCGCCTGCGCATGCCGTGCACAAGAGTACGCCGGGCGTCTCCCCTTGACTGGCGCTGCCCCCAAAAACTTCGGGGTGTTATTTAGCGATTCTCCCCTCACAAGCCCAGAGACAAGTTGCGGCGGCTCCCACAGCACAACGCTGACACCGACCTCGACCTACAATGCTCTTCCTGCCTCAGCTGCCCATCCCACTGCCGCCGAAGCTGCCCCAGCCACACTCACAGGCAAAAAGGCACGCAAAAAGCGCCAAGGCCATAGCCTGCGCAACAAGCAACGCAAGATAGAGCGTGAGGAGGCGCAAAAAGTGCTGACCAAAGCAGAGCCTCGACAATCTGTGCTCGTCAAGCCTGCCATTCCCACTCAGACGACCTACAACATCAGCAGCATCCCCTCTGCATCGACGGGGTTCATTTGCCTGCCGGACGTTGGCGAATGCCACCCCGTCATGCGCCTGAAGGAGTTGGTCGACAAGGAGCTGCTCATCTTACACTGCTGGGACGGCAGGTGCATACGCTGAGTTCACGAGAGGATCCCCAGCTGATGCTCCTCTCTAGATCTGTTTCCCCCATTGTCAGCTGCAATAACCAGGTCATTGGGCTCATTGCCGGATGCCCAGCAGTGCCCGACTGGGATGACGTCTGTCGTGAGGCCTACGAGGCGCTCTGTCAAGTGCGCGAGGCCTGCGACTTCATGCTGTCCGCTGCTGACCACCGGCGGGGCAACTTCCTTGTCAAGAACGTTGGGGTTGGGGCTGGATTTGGGCACAAGAAACCCGCAAACGTGGCCCACACAGAGCACAACACACGCCAGCTGGACACCCTCCTCCAGAACCCTGCGATCCAACGCATCTCATGCTTTGCTGACAGTAAGCCACCCCACCTCCCACTGATTCACCCTCCTCATGGGCTATGACTTAGACATCTTTGCCACCTGGTTCCCAAAGGTTTACAAGCACTATGGCGCAAACTTTGATGCCTTGCTCAAAGGCGACTCCAGCCTGTGCCACAACTTTGCAAACAGCGTGTGGGCTACCACAGCATTCAACTTTGGACCCCAAACTGTATGCTGCGCCCACAGAGACTTCACAAATCTACCCTTCGGCCTTTGCTCCGTGACCGCTTTAGGGGACTTCAACCCGGCGGCCAGCGCCTGTTTCGTTTTTTATGACCTCGGCATCATTGTTCAATTTCCGCCCGGCTCCACCCTCATCCTCACATCCGCTGCCATCGTGCATGCCAACTCATCCATGGGCCCAGGGGAGACTCGGTGTTCAATCACTCAATATACCCCTGGCGGCCTCTTCCGATGGGTTGAGCATGGCTTCCAGCTTGACCGCAAGTTCTACAGCAACATGATGCCCCAGGCCTGGGAGAAGGAGTTGGAAGCCATGGAGGAGAGGTGCAAGATGGGCCTCTCCCTCTTCAGCACCCTTGACGAGCTCAAGGCTGCTGCTGCTGCTGCTGCTGGTGCGAAGAGCAAAAAAAGGAGGGGCGCCCGTAGCTAGCAGCTGCCTCCTCTCTCTTGTAGAAATTCCACACTGCATGCTGTAGATATATGAACAACCTCACCCCAACAAGCAACGACTAGGTTTCCATGCCTAGCCCTCACTTTGTTTCCATATTATCACAAACTATATCTGAATTCACTATTAAGACTGCAAGACCTTGGTAATAACTAGAGGATAAATACAGCCCACTGTGGGTGTCTGGTATCCAAAGCACAATTAGGTGACAGCAAAGATCAATCTCAAATAAAACAATGCAGGATTAGTCTACGTAGTTGAAAAAAGCGGGGCAAAGAGTGACAAGGGTTGGTTCAGAGAAGAAATGAAGGGAGAACAGGCTGCTAAGCATGGAGCTGCAGGCGTTCCACGAAAGAGCATGCATGAGGAGGACAAGCAACGACAGAACTAACCAAGGGCATCCCATGGGTTATAAGCACCAGGGCTCGGCTCCTTATAGAAGGACGAACTCATGCGGCGAATTGGCTCAGGCGATGCAGTCTTGGTTCGGGTGACCAGGGATAGGCCTGGCACAATGCTTGATGGCCCTAGCTGCACGTCAGCACCTCCTGCCCCTGTGAATAATAGAGAAAGGCACTGTCAATCTCAATCTCATCATTGCTCGAGGCTACAATCATTGACACTTCACCAAGTTGGCGACTGCTGCGCAAGGTTCATCCCATTGAAAGTGCACCACAATGGTGCTGGGACAGGGATGGCAGCAACGCAGTCAGGCCCTTGTCAAACTCCTCCATGGCCTTGCCAACGCTCGAGTCGCCGTCGTTGAAAGCGGGTTGGGCAGGTTGAGCAGAGCTGGATGCTCCCAGTTCTGGAACAATGAGGCCGGCCTTTGAAATCCAGGTCTTCCTAATGCTCCTGGGCACAGGATCGACGGTTGCTTGCAAGATGTTAGAGAAGCTAGACTTGTTTAAACCACAGACAACTCACTGAGAACCAGGAACAGAGCCCTGAACTTGGTGCCATCACTTTTTCCAACTTGCTGCAAGATATCGTCTCCGTTGGGGTATGGGCAGCCGGGCATGATTTTGTAATCCTTATGGATATACCACCCCTGCTTGCGGCAAAGGAGCCACTGCGGAACATAGGATGGGGAGTCGGCGGAAGAGGACAGGTTGCGAACAGTAGGAAGGGTCGAGAAGAACTCAAGGAGCTCTGGAAAGTGGCCTGCGAGCCATGCCTCTACCGCTTCATGTGACATAGTGGAGTCGAACTCAAATCCTACCCAGTGATCACTCTTTGCAAGGCGCATGTGGATGTAGCTGTCCACGATGTCGTTTGGTGTGCCATTGGGGGGGTTCTGTATGACATATTGGCCCCGCATGACGTCCAGAGAGGTGTCTGAGGCTGCGCCTTCATCCTCGCTCTCCCTCTGCAAGGCCATGAGGTTCAGCCGTGGTAGAAAAGGGAGTGAAACACACCTCGGTGACGCCATGATAGAGAAACACAATGTTTCCAATCCGGATAACCAATGAGTCCTGGTTGAGATGAACATTTAGTAAGAGCACAAGATTTTCGTAACCAGCTCACCTTGTCCCCTGAATCCGCCTCCTGCTTCGCCCGGCCTTTCTTGGACTTTGCGCCCTGCATTGACAGTGCATCAGCAACTCAAACCTCACTTGTCAGGGTGCTGGACTAACCTTTCCAAGTGCTGGGGGATTGTCAGACACTCTCCTCCCCTTTCGCAGGCCTTTGCTGGTCTCGTGAATGGCAGCAGTGTGGTTCTTGGCGCTGTTCTTGAGTAGCGCGCTCGCAGCGCTTGCACCAGAAAGGGCCCTGGTGCCAGAGGCTGTGCAAGCCTTCTTCCCAGCCTGTGTGACAACAGTGGCAGCCAGCGAGCCGCGCATCTTCTTTGACACAGATGCGCTACGCTTGGACGTGGCTGGGACTTCCTCATCCACAGACATGTCATCATCGGCCTCATCCGAGCTGGATTCAGCCATGCGACTTCGCTTGCAGTGGCCAGACATCGGAGGAAGGTAGGAGAAGTAATATTGAGGGAGATACGCCTCACCTAACTGATATATAGGTTCACCCCCAGGAGCTAGCCCCCTCGACCTATCTTCTGGATTTAATTCGGGCAGGAAACTAAAATAAGCTAGGGGGGGCCTGGGGGGCACAGCTAATCTTTCTCGAACAGAATAGCGCGCAGTACAAACAAGGCCCTTGCCCACAACTCCGCTCTCGGGCGCCAAACATGGTCATCAAGATGAATGGCTTGTGGAGTCTTTCCAACCTTTAGGATCTCCACATTTGGATAGCCCCTGTGGCTCCACTCCTCTGGGCGAACCCCATACCCATGCAGGAGAACACTGGCGTCCTTCAGGCGCTTCGCTTGTATGCCAAAGTCACCCAGTTCCTGCTCGCTAAATGGGCAATGCTGTCTTGGTACTTTGACTGGTTTATGCCAAATATGTCAACTCTCTTCGTGAATTATTGCATCTAAGTCCGGTTCCTGGAGGAGAAATTAATTAGGCTTCTTTGAGGGCAGAAGGCAACCCACCTGCTCAGGTGGTAGGCCATCTGGAAAATCGTCCAAATCCATGAGTACTTCCCCCTCTGCATCGAGATCATCCTGCCCATCGTCCTGGTCACCACCTTCATCCATCGGGCGGTCTTCATCCCCAGAAATGGCATCTGAATCTCTCTCACTTGACCCTGACTGCTGATCCTCGTCGCTTATGTCCATGGGCTTCCGCTGTTCGTCATCCTCTTCTTCATCCATGCTTGCCAAGTCGCCACCCCTCGCTGAGTCGTCATTGCTGTCTGAGTCCACTTCCTCCTCTGCACTGCCCTCGTCTGGGCCACCAAGGACTGTACCGCCATAGCAACCATAATACTCTGTGATTTCTTCAAGGGTAAGGCCTTCACACTCGTCGTAATATCCAGCATCGAGCATACCCAGGAACTCGAGCACCTGTCAGAAAAAATGTTAGCCGCCCCAAAAGAAAGGACATAATGGGGAAACTAAGGCTTACATTTGGGGAATTGTGGTGCCCTTCACCTGAGATGGGATGCACATTCCAAGTGTGTTTGAATTGAGTGCAATCGTCGTTGATTGCAGCCAGGAACAGGTGCTGGACCAACCAGAGGTGGGTGGGGTCTGTGCAGTCTAGCTGGTGATCACGCTCGAGCTGCAGGAAGAACACACACCATTGGCAGGCGAATTGCTGCCCCACCTCGACCCACAGCCGCTCAATTCGAGTGTTGAAGACAGACGAGCCCTGTTGATTCCTCACAGAAGGATCATGAGGATGGAGACATCTCAATTTTCTCCGCCATGATCCCCCTGTACATGTGAAGGAACCCCGTTTTCGACAACAGCATCCAAGAACATATTGAGTACTGTGGACACTCGATTATTATTGCTAGCCTTCATCCCAGTGATCTGTAATATGTTTCATAAGCACTAACAGGTGCATGCAATAAAGGATGGGAAGGCTTGGAATCCCTACTTTGCGAGAATAGCCATCGACAACGCCATGAATAACAATCCCCCAGGTAATCAATTTGTGATGCCTGTCTAGGTGCCAGAGTGCATGGGGTCTCTGCACCTCATATCGACGCCTCTTTACCTTGGCTCCCTTGCGCTGACGTAGAACTTGCCTGACATAGTCAACACGTTGCATCGAGGCCACCACCCTGTCTCTTTGGACACGTAGGCCATGCTGATGTACATAACCAACAGTGTATCGTCAACCAGACGTAGATCCAGTGCAGCATTCATCCTTGATCATCACATCCAGGTCAGCATTGGTGATGTTGGAGAAACCAGTGTCGACATCATTTTCCCTCAGGCGTTTCCTCAAAGTTTTTTGGTCTATCCCCAGGGATTTAGCCAGTGCCTGCTTTGATAGCCCTTTTTCTGGGTCCATCGCAGCGCGAAGGATTTCTGGATCGACCATCTTGTGTGGGCGGCCACGCTGTCCAGTGTGCTCTACAGCTATTGGCACCGGAACTTGGACATTGCTACTGCCTCTGCTCGGTGCTCAGCAAGTAAATCAAGGCGGTAGAGAAATGAACGCACTCGCCTGTGGTCTCCTTATCTGTGTCGATCAGTTGCTCTGTTAGCTCTACAAAACACTGGGCCACTTGGAGCAGCCACAAAGATGGCACCGAGTCAGCACCCCTGTCCATATCCAGTGCAATGATCAGTGGGTACACATCATTGAAAAGCATGGAGACATGATGTTGGAGCCGATGCCGGTTGTGGTTGCCCGACTCTAGCATGTTGTTGCTGGATTCATACAGATCGTTGAGGATCTGGCAGCTTTCAGATACGCTGGACGGCCAGGGTGGATCCCTGGGCAAGAGCGAGGGCAACGGCATGTTGGGGAGTAAGGGAGAAGCAGTGAGGTAAGGGTCTAGGGCAAAAAAAAACAAGGGAATAAAGGGGGAGGGGGTGCAACACCAAAAAGGCGAAATCAACATCAGGAAGGAAGCTTGGCATGGAACAAAAAGGATCGGGCTGAGAGCAATCCCACAGCACCTTTGCCAGTTTGGAACCCCTCCTTGCACTCGCATGGACGCCCCACCCTTCACACAAACACCTTTCAGCGGGCAGGCGGCTCCAGACGAGGCCCCCACCCCTCGCCCAACTTCGGATTACTTCCAATTTTTCTACTTCCATGTGTGTTGCTCTGTCTGTGATTGCCTGCCATGAAGACCACTCTGTGCTCACAACATACATACAGGCCAAGAATGTGATCGAGTGCCTGAATGTCGTCCCATTCCTCAAGGAGTCGGAGAGTCTCCGCGTGCTCTTCTCTCTGCCAGTATCCGACCCCACTGAGGGCACCCCAACAAACCCTATCGTTCTTGAAGGCACATCCAGGGGCATGCTGCAGGCGCTAGCCATTTATGTGAACAACTAGTGAGTGCATAATTGCTTGATTCTGGGCCTCCTCTGACATCAGACCCAGTGGCTGGAGTGACGATGTCTTGGACAAGGTGTCACTGGTGCATATCTTGCACTTTGGCCACATGTGGGGGGCCAAAAAACCCTTGACTTGGGCTATCAAGAAGCTCGAGCTCTTGCAGATCTCTCCAGCAAGGATGCTTGAGCTCGCTGGCCACTACAATGTCAAGCAGTGGGTCAAGCCTGCAACGAGGGCGCTTCTTGACACCCCTTTGAAGCGCTATACCACTGAAGACAAGCTTACTTTGGGGTTGGAGATCTTCTCCATCATTGCTGAAGCACAAGAGGAGCTGGAGTATGTTATGAAGTACGTAGCTACCATCCCTCCTCCCCTTCTCAAGGAAACAGCCACTCGCAGCCTCCTGTGGTGCCCCCACCATGCTCATTGTGTAGTAGCCTGGGCCGAGGGATGGTGGCTGGACATTGCCCGCCGCCTTGTTGATCCAGAGAAGCCTCTTTCGTTCTTCAGGATCACTGACCAGCTTGAGGTCACACAGTTCCCTGGGATGCGCGACAAGTGCTGCAAGGACGCCATCGCGTTCCTCCGCGAGCACCCGAGCGCCTTCTCCGGCCACTATACTGTCTCCCAGCGCACCGTTGAGCGTGTCCGTCAGCATTTTGGTATTCAAGATGACTAATTAGGCAGTGACATACCTTCTAAGCACTGCACCATTGTTCCTGCCCACTCGTTACAACACTTATACCCGTCGCTCCTTTATTAGTTGCTCCTTTTAATAGTGCATGATTTGCCTGCTGTTTCTCCACTGAGTCCGGGAATGTCTCTCGCAAGCTGCCATGCCGTGTTGAACTCCGTGTTGAACTCCATGTGCTTCGACAAAGACTCTGCCTAGGAATTGCAGCTGCATGAAGGCAGCCCTTGCAGTGAAGTCTGGCATTGTGGGGTGGGTCGTGCGCTTCATTATTTTTAGCACCACTACCTCATCCCTTCCGACCTGTCCAAAGTTTTAGATCTGACACGCTACCTAGTCGACAAGGGACAGCACCTCGCATCCAATCTCCCATAGCCTATTGTCCTCAGGCAGTCCTTCTCCTCTCTCAGCATTTGACAAGGCGTCACATTGGTGTGCCTGTCTCAAGAATTGCCCCCAACATCAACATCGTTGATGATGAATACAGTCGAGAATAGGACGGCAGCTTCCTCCCACCTGCTGACGAGCTTGCACAAGACCCGAGGGCACCGCATTCCGACTGGTTCCCTTTGCCAGAGGCCGAGCGTGATGCTGGCATCTTTATCAATGGCGACGACGAGATCCAAGCGGCCCAGGACATTTTGGGTGAAGACTTCGACTACGACGCTGATGACGACAATAACAGCATAGATGTCTATTGCGAAGCCCTGTTCCGCATGGAGAGCTTCCTGAATGCACAGGCAAGCGAGGTATCAGAAGAGGAGTCAGATGACTTGTAAATTATGCATGAAATGAACTGATCCTTGGACGACAAAACAAATGAGCAGATCCATGTTAGTGTGAAAAAAACAGAGACGTACCTATTAGGTGACACAGTGACTCAAAGACCGTGAAGCCCTCTCGAGGCGCATCAGTACCCAGGAGCATGTTTGCTTGCAGAACAACAGGGATGTGCGATGGATCCAGCTCGAGAATGTCTCTCACCAATTGTCTCGCAGCGTGCCGCTGGGCGAAGGCAGCTGAGTCCTCCTGTTCTACCTGTCTGGGATTGTAAACTCCGGTTGCTCCCAGGTCGATGGGTAACATTACCTGTCTCCCAGAGGGTATCTTACTCGTGCGGCCCTTCTCCCCTAATGTCATACTACCATGCTCCTCATTTGTGTGCTCCTTCCCCGTTCGTGTGCCCATTCCTCATTCGTGTGCCCGTTCCTGTCTTTGGTCGTACCTTTGTGGACCGCCTCCCACCCGTCTCCTCGTCTTTGTCATTCACCTCCTTGCCAGCAGCAGCCTCAATGTCAACAAATATAATTAATTAGTTACTTGTTGTGTGTACACCCCTACCAGCCGTGCTACAATACATGGGACATGCTACAGACTTGTATACATTGCCTATCTGCTATCTACGTAGTCGACACCTCAGAGTGGAAAAGTATAGCACGAGAAAGCAACGCACTCTTATACCGGCCGAGCTTCAGGGCAGGTGCAGGCTCCCCGCTAGACTTGTCAACCGCTTGCCGAACGTGCTGAAACATTGGACCTCCGCCATCAGCCGATCATGCTGATAGCCGTGTGTGTTGAAACGCAACCTTGTGTGTGTGTCTTGGATTGGCACTCGTGTGTGTTAAACCGAGCTCCATGTGTATGGGATCATCTCGTGTGTGTGTTAAATTACAGCGTGTGTGTGTTAAATTATGGCGTATGTATGTGAAGTTCCCCTGTGTATGTGTTGAGTGCATCTGTGTGTGTGGTTAAACGACACGTGTGTCTGATAAGCATGTGGTCTGTGTGTATTAAATCTCTGGATGTATGTGTAAATTTCGGGGACAATTTTTCCCCAATCCGGCCTTCATACAATGCTGCCCTCCTAGTCATCCCAAATATACACTGACACCAGCAACACCCTTCCTCAAATCCTCTTTGGGGCTATCGGACCCACTCTCTCCTCTCCATTGATCTCCCGTACCCATTCCACGTCGACGTCGACCCTCAGCAACCTCCAGCCTTCCATCGCTCTTCTCGAACACTCGACATTCGATATGCGTCCCGCTGCACGAAGATGAGCGTTCTCTGAAGGTGTTGGACTGGTGATGATGGTCGACGTCTTGTAGATCGCGTCAGATCTTCGTATGTCTTTGCTGTCGTGTTATCATGGGCCCTGTCCTTGCTCCCGCACTATCCTTTCAGGACCGCCTACCACTCGTCGTCGTCGAGCGTCCTTTCCTTCCACACATGGGCCTAGGTCCGCATCCCACGTCACCCTTTCGTTCTACTGTCCCCATCCCGCCCAGAGCAAAGGTGGTTATCCAACTCCCATTGTCGCGGTCGTAACTTAGTATATACGATTCCGAGACCATGACATTGGTCATACAGACCAGGCTCACACCATTGCTCTGTGCTCCGACGCAGTACAGACAGTGCCTCCTTCCCCCTCTTCCTTTCTCTGATCTTGGTATCATCGATCGTCCATGCGATGCAAGCATCCTGAATGCCCAACTTCAATTCAAAGCACTCTTTGCTCATAACCAACTACGATCTGGACCACAGTCGGTGAGTAATTGTGATTCTACCACCCCTAAAGTTTTAATATTGTTCGTACACCTCCAAGTCGATATTCTGCCGCTCCAATACCTCGTGCGTCGATGTCTCGTGCGAGTCAATGCGGCTGAGATTCAAGCCACAGGGGTGAATATTGAGAGTTTGCATCAGAGGGTAGGAGGGATAACGCTACGTCGAGGTCAAGTTTCTCCAGTAGCACACATTCCTTCCCTACTGGTTTCTTGCAGCTATGGTACGTCCCATTCATCCAGATTTCAGAGACTGCCGTCTATAGCGTCTCCACCTTGCTCGTCAATATTCGATCATGAACACCCTGCCTCTAGGGCACATCGCCGTCCCATCCCATCCTATACTTCGCCCTCAGTCCCTGTTTGGTCCCTGGATTTCAACCTGCCGCGCATCTCCTCCCATCCACCGCTCCATTGTCGGCGGCATACCTTACCACCAAGATGTAATTGCCACCCGTCCATTGACGATGCGTCCCACAGTTGGTGTTATTGGATACCCCTTGAAACTGTCAGCAGTGGAACGGTAGATTCGGATCGAGATCGCCCAAATCGCGCACAGGGTCATCGTGTTTCCATTCGTTCGTCCTTTCTTTCTGTTCGGAACTCGCCCTCCCATCTCCGCCTCTGCCCACTCTTGCCGTCCACTCATTCCAGCGACCTCGCCGCGTCCTCCCACCCACTGCTCCACTATGGCTGTAGACACCAATGTGGCCCTGCTGATTGGTTGTCAGTGGACACCCCTGGGCCCTTGCTGGTGTGATATGGTTCTTTTCATAGATAGAGCAGTGGGTGACGGAGGTCGCTAGCATTGGGTTGCAGCTGAACATATGGCACTTTGTACGTCTTCGCCTATGTGTCGCGCTGTTTTCCGTCGCTGATTCCAGGGATTACTACGAATCTCTGCCCGTCCGTTCAAGGCGATTCCTCTCTCCTTCCCATCTCCTGTCGCCCTTTTGCCTACCATGTTTGCCACCGTCTCGTGCAGGGCAAAGGGTAGACAGGTCAAGATCTGATAAATACCTGCGCCCGACATTCGAATTTGAGGATGTCTGTGCTCGACAGCCTAGATACCCAGAACATCGTCAGTGTGAACAAATTCAGAAGGAAGAAAGCACCTTGCCCTGAAGGGGGCGAACACACGAAGCCATCAATTCAGCAAGGTAAGAAAGAGGGTGAGCAGAGGATGCGAACATACTTCGAGCATTCACATCGTGGCCATATCTCTCATCGCATTCATCATGAGCACCTGAGATGATATCGGAAACTGGAAGGTCATCTCTTGACGGGAACTAACGCAAAGGAATACGACCCAGGATACGCGTGAAGAGGTTCGAAATGCCTGTAAGGGTTAAACATGCCCTGAAGCTACCATCCGATGAACAGAATACTGGAGACTCGGTGGTGTGTGCCGATCTCGTGGCTTGGGTTTATTTGACAGGTCCTGCGTCGGCTCGAGAACAGAAGCTTGGAGGAGGAAACTTGAAGAATGAGCGCACTTGCAGGAATGGAGGATGCCGAGTGCAGGATGAATGGAGGTGGGTCCAAGAGGTAGATCGAAGGCTTGAAGACGAAGGACGGGAGGAGGGAGGAGGGGGTTGGGGTGATTGACAATAGGAGGTAGGACCCGTAGTGTGTGTCGAACACGGCGCAATGGAACTACAATAGTGCATTTCGTGATCTACTGGTGGAGATCGCGCAGTTCGATTCACGCCGACACGTACATCCTCTAAAGAAAGAGAAGGACTAACGCGAATGCCTTGTGCAAAGTGCAGTTGACGGGCGGGAATGAGGATATGCTGACCTCGTACACAAGCGAACGGTGAATCAAGGAGAAGGTGTGCGCATTGTGATAAGGAGGATGTACAAAACATGTTCTATATGCCAGGGGACTCCGAAATAGAATGGGGGAGGATAGGTAGAATAGTGTTGTTAATGCAGGATAAAGCGAGCGAAAGTGAGTGAGATACAGTGCCCAGTGACCAGATGTCCATGGGCACGAGATGTGGTGACGAGCAAGAGAATGGGAATGTGGCCAGCGGGCAGAGAATGTGGGCGAAAGATCTGCGCTACAGCAGGGTAGTCATAGATGGACGGAGGACGTACCTTTGGGTACCGCACACACATCGTACGTAGCTCTCAGGATACGCATGTCCTTCTCCTCTTTGATAGCTCTCCTCGCACAAACACACCCAGTCCGATCCAATCCACGGATCCCGGAAGCTTCGCCATTTCTTCATCCACACGAGATCTCGGGAATACCAAATGAGATTTTGAGCATACATCGCCCGCGCACATAGGAGGGAGAGCCTCGTCGTTGTCGATATCGGCGTAGAGAAGGCCGACGTCTCCGATCTGAGTCGTCCGACACTTCATTTACTATCCGTAACCGGTTACTCGGTCACACCAGCTACTCGGTCATTGCCTTTGTAGATGGCACAGTTGCTCATTTCACTCCATTCTTTTTGTGCACTCATGTATAATAGTATCAGAGCAATGTAACTGCATTTTTTGGCAGACAGAACACCATTCCTCGCGGAGAAATGAGCCTCCCCTTGTGTCTGGTGACGCGTGACGCCCGATTTCCTTATTTGATACCATGTTTCTGGTGGTCCCGGAGGGCTTTTCTCGACAACATGACACATTGCCAGGAAGATACTTTGGACTTAAGAATTTCATAGTGACTACTTTATAATTAAGCAAATTTCTCTTATGTTGAAGGATTGCTGCACTTCCAACCTTGAAAATTGGAGAGTGTGTCATTTTGGAGGTGGATTGGACTGTTCCTGCTGATTTCTCTTAGTACAAAGCATCTATTGCATAAACAAAGAGGTGAAATGAATTGTGAGGTAAATATGTGTGCATAAAAGAAGATCCCCTAATTTTTACAAATTTCTTCCAAACATAAGACACCAAGCAATTGAAAATTCTTGTTTTGAGTGATGAGAAATGTCAAATTAAATAACTGAAAGGAAAACATCAGAAATCATGAAATAAGAAGACCAGCTCATGATAGAGGTGTCTAACTTTCACTGAAAGCATTTTTTCGTTTAGGTCAGACCAACTTTGAAGAGCAATTCAAGGTGGCCGAGTGCTGTCCTCGCATTCCGAGGTTATCTTATCATCAGCTTACTAAGCATAACTGACCCTGGTTACAACCGGTGTACGGGACCAATACAAATCGGTCTAGTCTCGGGGCCTGGCCGACTTCCTGGTTT